TGTATCTATCATTTCTTCCCACTTCACTCTCTTCCGTTAGCCTTCCCATTGGCCAGTGTTTTCGCTATGATTTTCTTAACTTTGTCTTGATGAGCAATAAGTTTTTTATTTTTTATTTTTGGACTAAAAAGTCATGTATTTTATAGGAAATTATGAATTATTATCAATAATTTTTCTCATTTCGACAATAATACCAAGATAATAATAGTAAAAATAGTAAAATAGATCTTATAGGCCTCAAGAAAAGGCCCATAGGCTTCACTATAGGAATCACTAAAGACCACAATATCACAAATATTAAGAATCTCTGCGACTTTATCATTAAAATTTCTAGAACTCCTGAAAATCTAGATGTTTTTTCAAATTTTTTGGATGTTTTCTTTCGTTAATCTTACCATTGACCAATTTTTTCGCTATAATTTTTTAACTTTATTGGTAGAAGGCGAATTATAAATTCGAATAGCATAATCTTTTACGGTAAGTGATGATTTAGTGATTAGAATGCGATATTTCGCTTATCTCAAACTTCAGTTTATGCTTTATTTAATTTCGATTTCGTGTTATTTAATTCTTTCGATGGGGCAGGTTAGTTTAGCGATTGTTGCCAAGATTATCATGCAATTCACACTTCACCTCCGGTACAATTAAGCCAGTCATTAGGAAATTCAGATATTGAGGATGAACCACTTGTATGCCATGAAAAGATGATTGGAACAGTGACAAATTGTGCACTTTTATTTTGATAGATGTTTTGATCAAATTTGATTAATTAAAAAAATCCGATTAATTAAAATAATCAAATATTAATTGTAAATACTTATATATAATTATCAAGATTTCCATTTATCTTAACAATCACTAGGATAAATGATAGTTTGAATGTTTAGGGAGTTGTTGAAGTAACATTAAATATATTGTTTTTAAGATCATAGTTTTTTGTTCATATTGTTCATATTTATTCTTCTTCTAACAGCTCTCATAATTGCTGGTTAGGCTGGCTACAAGCGGCTAAGATATTTCCAAGCAGAGCGGTATGATGCCACTGTCGACAGTAATAAAAGCTATTCCGTCCACCTATACGTTCAAAATCTTTCATCACCGTATCATTTCATATTTATTGAACTCATGGATATCAACTTATGAATATTTTTTAATTTTATTAATTTAATTCAAACTAATTTTATTAGCCATTTCAATTTGATTTAAAAATTATTCAAATTATTTTTTATTTTATTCATTATGATAAATACGAAAATACTTTAGGACAAAAGGAAAAAATATATTTGTTTCAAGTGAAATGTGATATGGCTTGTTTCATATTTTATTTAATATTCATCTATTTTTTCGATTTCTAAAGTTTAATTATAGTGAAATGAATGGAAGCAGAGTAAACCTTTAATTATGTACTCAAATATGCCAAAAGTTTTTCATCTTTCGATCAAACTGATAACAAAATCCAATGAAAATTTAAAGAAAATATTTCAAGTTTTTGCGAAATTTCGGAAGCGTAATCAATAAAACTTTTAGATATTTTTAGATATGATGGATGATGGTAATTATAAAATTTTTTTTTTCGTTTTTTAAGCGTCATAGATCACTGATATTACTAATTTGACAATAATTTGACAAAATAATTTTTTATTTTTATATAATAATTTGACCATTTAATTACTAATTTCAATAGGAATTCCTATTTGTACTTCTATCTTTATGGTGAATGGGTCATCGAAATGGCCAGTGAAAAACCAGAATTCCAGAAATGGTGAATATTGCTAGGAGAATATTGCTAGGAGAATAACTGCTTGAAAACATGGAAATATAAATTTTTCAGAGGTTTAGAGTTCAAATTAGTGATGAACAAAATAGCGATATGAAAATCAGAATATTTAATAGAATTTAAGATTTTTCTGAAATCGAAATCTCTAAAAATTTGGTGAAAATTTATTTAATATTGAATTATTATTGATTCCCTAATTATTTGCTATAGTAGCAAGAATGAAAATAAATTATTTATTTCCATTGATTTCATCACAATCACATATTTGGATGGAAAATTTGGATTTTTTGGATTTAAAGGCAAATTTGCATTATACGGTTTAAATTAATGGAAACCAATTCTCATACAATTCTCATATTAAATTTAGGAAAACTTTGTATTTTTGGTTTCAATAAAAATAAGTATAATTTTAGAAAATTTTTTTTATGAATTTTCTCACAAAAAATTCTAAAATTTTTTAAATGTAAATATCGAGGTGAGAAGATCGCTTCGAATTTCTATTATTATAAAGGGCCATACACGACGATACAATTTAAATATTATTCTTGTATGAGAATATTGGTGGCATAAGAATTTAAAAATTTATTGGTATAACTGAAATTTCTTTATTTTGGGAAAATTTGGCCAAAGAATCATCGTTTATAATCAACAATTTTTCCGTATATTTAATGATGGTTGTTCTGTTCTGTTTATTTTTCCTAAAAAAACATTAAATCTTAATTCATCTTAATTTTTGTTGCATGTTTTTTGAATTAGTGTTATTCAAAATTTTACTCATTAATCTTCTTTTTATCATTGCAGTTTTATTGCATTTTTTTTCTATCTTTAGGTTCGGCTAATTTGGCTAGTTTGACTGCAATGAATTAAACGAAGTTCTTTCGCCAGAGAGCCATTTGGAGATAAAAGTGCTGCTAGGTTCCCAAAATTTTCCATATTTGGGGATAGGATGGCTCAGTGGGTTGTTGCTCAATTCGGAGCCCAGATGCTGAGGTTCGATTCTTCGCGGGAATAAACCTGTATTCAGGTGATACTGGTGATTCATCAACGCTTCTATCGCCAAAGTGATCCTTGATATATTGTGATAAGCCAGAGCGGCGAGTTTTACCAGGGCTCTTAAATAAGAAAAAAAGATATCAGTGGAACAAAAGCTATCAAAAATTAATATACAAATCGCCGAGCCATGAAAATTATTTTCGATTTATTGTATTCTCTTATCATAATATCACTTATGATATATTGCAACAACTTTTTTTTTTTCTGAAAGTATTACTGATAACCATTACTGATTAGATTCACTCCGTTGGCTTGTTGAACCAGACGAATTTTCCCGAGGAGTTCACTTGGATATAGAAATATAAGCGCTGAACAGCCGGCAATACCTGGCTTTTTGAATGACAAACTTACTCTCCCTTGAATGGAATCACCACACTACGAGCGATTCGAAATGAAAAACCAACTGAATTATTCCAAACCCCTTTGCTTTCACCTTCGGTGATGTTCGACCAGATCTGATCTCTATTTATTCCTGGTTCATGTTGGCTACCATCTTGCTATTGAGCTACTAACTCTCTATCAACACTGTTTACAATAAAATAAATGTAAAATATTGTTATGTAAATTTATGGGCGTCAGGATAGCCGAGTGAACAATGGTTCAGATTATTGTGTTGAGCTGCGAGAGTTCAAGTGGTGATGACGATCTATCTTTAATTTTATCGTTGGTGAATTCCCACTAGTAAACCTAAACTAAAATTATTGAAAATTTGATAGTTATTAAGATATCCCATTCGTCGTAAGTAACTCTGACCAGATGGCCTGAAATTGGCTAAATTCGCTCAGTAATAAATAAATCATAAACTATAGAGGAACATATTCCATATTTAAAAAATGTGGGAAAAATATACATTAAAAATTCTTGCCAATGCACCACAATTCGGAGCGCCGATGCTGAGGTTCTATTCCCCGCAAGAATAAACCTATCCAAAAATTCGTGTTATGCTGGCGACTCACTTGCACTTCTATTGTCAAGGGGCATATTTGTCCAATGCGACAAGCCAGAAAAGTGAGTCTAAAAAAGACCTCGCATATTTGTCTTTTATTCCAACCAGCTAGATAACCAGCGAGAATCGTCATGTTTTCAGATGAAAATACACTACTCCATTAAACAGTCTATAATTTATCACATATAATTCACAAAATCGAATTTGTTTCGAATAATTTTTATTTGAAATAATATCGAAAAGTTTATTAATATTTATTCCATAATAAATTATTATGTTCTCCAGTGGAAAAATTCCCTTAATAGTCGTAGATTTGTGAAATAATCACATTTTTACGACTTAAATTAGATGAAATTTTTGATATAATCGTTTATTTTACTCTTATTTTATTATAATCGTCTGTTGGAATCGAAATATTTCGCTTATTCTTCTTATTATTGATCCTAACAAAATACAATTTCGTTTTTATTAAATTAAACTATGTGATGTGAAGATTGTTATTTGTTATTAAACAACGAGAAGTTATAAATTTAAAGTTATAATAATAAATAAATATTTTATATTTTATATTTTACATTTATATATTTATATATTTTATATATAATATTTTATATTTATAACAATAATAAATATTTGTAAATAATATGATAATAAATATTTATAAATACTTTTTTATAAAATTGGTTATTTTATTATTTTATTATTATTTTATTTTATTATTATCTATCAATTTGCAAAAAAAATTTCGTGAAAATTTATATTTATAATTTTTTATATTTATTATTATATATATTTATAAAATTTATAATTTTTTCTTTTTTTCCCGGAAATAAATTGCTCTTGTTTGAAAAGAAAGATGCCAAATTTAAACAATGATTTATTTTTGAAAATAAAATTTGCATGAAAATTAATTAAAAATTATTTTATTTTTTATTATTTTACCTAATAAAATTGGTATAATAATAAATCGAAAATGTGAAAATTGTTTTTGAAATTGCTTTGTTTGGCTTATCATTAATTAGATAATTTGCTGTATTAATAAGGTGATAAATGTGGTTGCTAAGCATCCTTAGCTATTTCTCATATGAATGGTAAATTTAACGCAAATTTTGATATTTTGATAGTTATTATATTAGAAGGCCGCAATCGTTTTTTTTTTTATGTCGTCAGTGATATCCAACATTTAAGGATTTTAAATAAATTCTTATGGAATGATTTTAAGAAATGACGGCACCGCATAGCCGTCCATCAAATAATCCAATGCTTATATGGTTGGAAGCGTTGGAAAAGGATTTCGATAAAGCATTTGTTGGTTTGGATATTCTTTTGGGAGAAATCGACTCGGATCAAGTTGGTGTTTCAAAATCTCTTTTCCTATTCTTTTATAAACAAACAATATATTTGATTAATTTAATTTAATTACTTTAATCACTGTTAAATTAATTAAATTAAATTATTTCTATGAACTAAGATGGAATTCTTTTTTATGATCGATTCGTTTCTTTTTCTCTAATTTTTATTGTTTAAAACTGATTTGCTTAAAATATGTTGAAAAAATGGATTTCTCACTTTTGAAAATTTCTATGGTTCTTGATTTTTGATTTCAAATTTATTTCAAAAAAAAAAACCTCAAAAGCAATATATGAAATCTACTTAAAATGCTAGAAAGTAGCATGCAAATGTCACAAAACTACAATGTTAATGTCACTTTAGTCATAAATTTTATAAATATCTTATATTGTCAAAATATGGATTTGAAAAATATCGATTTTTATTCCCACTGGTATGGGAAAATATTTCGGACTTCTGTTGAAAAAGTATCATTATTCCATCGAATCGAATGATGAAGTTTCATTGCTAAGAGAAAAGAGTAAACTAGGTAATATTACTGGAAATATGAGATAATAGAAATAATGAATAAAATTTTATCAAAAATCAAAAGTCGGCGAAAAAGTCGTAAATTAGTGGATCGTTTGTTAATAGATGATTTCTGCTTCCTATAGCCTGGTTAATAATGATAATATATAATAATAATAAATAACAACAATAATAATGGTTTGAATATTTTCCAGAAAATTTATTGCCTAAAAAGGTTCAACGAATATCAGTTTGACCAGAAACTTTTTTTTCCCGAATTTCATTCACTTGTAACAAAATACGCAAAAGTTTGATTCATAAATAATACAAGCGAAACATATTAGAAGATGAAAATTGTACACTAGAATATTTATCAGAATATCAGACTAAATAAATATAACAATAACAAAATAAATATAGCAAAAAAAGAGAATTTAGAGGGTTTTTTCAAAATAAAAACCGAATAAATATTCTATTTTTGATTATCCTTTGCCAATTTTTATTAACTAAATTTGTAAAAAATTATTTATTCACCAAATTTGAGTGGGGCTCGTTGTATTAGTTGTGTGAGACAATTTTTGACAAGAAACCATTTGAGAATAGAAATAGAAATAGAAATAGAAATATTTAGCACCAGCCGGATTTCATTTTTCAGTGGTAAATATTAAATATTCTGCTTGGTAGCTAAAAAATAATGCACCAAGTGCTAAACTTAGCTATGGTCTTAGCAATAATTCATTTATTCTGCACCTCTCATATAAAAAATTAGTCGTACAGAACGACATCGCATAACTGAATTACAATTTCAACGAAAGTAAAATAATAAAAAAATAGAAGTAAAATATATAAAATATAAAAATATAAAATATAGATAAAATAAAAATGCAAAATATAGAAAAAATAGAAATATAAAAAAAACTAGAAATTCCGTTTTAATCAAATCTTCTAAATACATTTCTTCTTATATGATTTTATACAGTTCTGCTTTGGCTGAAATAGAATTACATATGAGTCTGCCTGGTTTTCATTTTTGATGACTCTCATTAAACGACCCAAATCCAACCGAATTCCAGTTGAATTAATTAAATCATCAGATCATATCATCTTTAGGCTGAAATCACATTTGAGAGTCGACAAAAAATGACTTTATTAAGCAGCGCCTTTGCACAACTCGTACATAAAGTTCAGACAATTTTCCATTGTAATTCCAGATTAGAGGTGAGTATTGCTTTTATTCATTTCTATTTGCTTTAATACAGCGATAAACGATAAAGTAATAAGTAAGGAGACAGAATTTGAGTGTTTTTAATTAATTAATTAATCAGTTTAATGAACTGATTTGATAAAAATCTTCGTATTTAATTTATTTTGAGGCCGAAATAGCACAACTCAGGAATGAATTATGTACTTCTAAAGCTGCCGAATTTGAACTGGAAAGGGAATCACAACAATTAATGCTGCAGGTAATTTTGCCAAGTCGAATATGAAAGACTAAGCCTGGGCGAATTAGTTGATTTTTGAGAAATGTCCTTTAATATAAACAATAGTTTCAAATTAGGATGGTTCCTTTCTGTGGTAAATTTATTAGAAAAGTTGATCTCCAGTTAAATTATTATTCATTTATCAATATATTTAAAGCTTTCTTATTTTTTCGAAAAATAAGGTATTTTCTCATATAGGAATTCTGTCTATATTCGTGGATATGTTTGTATAGGCACAAACTGTGATTATAGATAGGTACGAACTGTGAAAACTGTGAAATAACCAAAATTTGCGACCCCTATATTCATAATTTTCTGTATCAATTTCATCCAGATTTTTGATTTTCTTCTGCCAGAAACCGGTCCATGATTCAAAAAATGATAATTCTTTGTATTCTGCCTTGAAATGAAATTAATATAAGATTTGATACATTTTATCAATTTATCAATTTTCAGTTTTATTAAATTAAATTTAAAATTTTTTCGATTTATTATAATATTACAGGTCCACAGCTTGCAGTGTCAAGTCTATTCAAAAACAGCGCCACACGAATCAGATATGATAAAGAAGAAACTGGTATGTTATTTCATCGATATATATCGGCTATAACTAATTCGCTTAACTTTTGTCCCAAATAATTCCCTTAGGTAATTGTGTTATTTAATGGGAATAAACTCTTAAATAAATGCTTTCCAGTTTTGCCATTAAAATTCTTATAAATAAAGAAAATATTGAAACTGATTTTAACATAGATATTTCATGAAAATTGGTTGGAAAATTTTTAATTTCTTTTTTATATTATATTAAATTAAATACTATATTAAACTTTATATTATATTATATTAAATTATACTAAATTGCAAACAGTCGTCGATGTTTGTTAATTTGGAAAAAAAAACGATAATTTTCGTTAAAAATTTGATTTCATATCAAATTTTCAAAAAAATTTCTAACAGAAATTTAAAATTTTTTTTGAGAATTTATTTTCTTTATTTATTATTTATTTATTTTGAGAATTTAAATTCTGAAATTCTTGACAAATTTGCAAAGAAAAATTAATATTTAAAAGCAGCAATCGCCTCAGAAAAAGATTTTGGAAAAAAGAAGTTAATCTGTTAAAATTTCGCAATTTATCATTGAATAGGTTTTTTTCAAAATCTCATAAAACGAAAACGAAAATTAAGGAACAAGAAATAGCGGATTTTCGAGCAGAAATTCGTCCTCCAGCGAAATTGCAATCTGAAACTGATATTCTTCGAAAAGAAAATGAACAATATCGACAAATGATACTTGCGATACAAAGCGAAGTTTATGGTGCAAGATTAGCAGCGAAATACCTCGATAAAGAATTAGCTGGAAGGTAGCCCTTTTATTTTTTTTAGCATTTATCGCCTCGATTTTGGCTAGCGCCAGCTACCAGCTAACAATCCTAGCACTTGCCGGTCTTCATTTTTAATGGTAACATTCGTTAGGAGGCAGGAATCGATCTGATCGTGACCGTGCGTGACCGTAGAGCAACTGCTCGTGAATAAATATAGCAATATACAATTCATTATAATATTTTTTAAACTTTTTTTATATTTTAGGATTCAGCAAATTCAACTTCTTGGAAGAGATATGCGTGGAGCAGAACACGATCATCTATGGAATCAGTTAGAAGCTGAAATACATCTTCATCGTCACAAAACAATTATTCGAGCGTGCAGGTATAATTCATAATGATGGGAATTCGAAGAGTTTTTTTCTTTTCATTTTTGCTATAATTTGTTCTTAATGAAATTCATAGATATATTTTCCAATATTTTTTAGAGGAAGAGGAAATTCCAAGCATCTTCTATCTCCGCCTCACCACGATTATGCAAGCCTAAGGAAATACAAAGGTGTAGGGCAAGTACGAAAGATTAAACTCATTAAGGAACAACATGAAGGGCTTGGAATCTCAATAACGGTAGGTCATGACTTTAAGCCAATTTTTCACTTTTTTCATCATTTAGTTAAAACGAGAAAAGCAATCAAATTTCAATTTAACTCTAGTGAAAGCCAAAAAATAGTTAATTTTAGGGTGGAAAAGAGCATGGAGTTCCAATTTTGATATCTGAGATTCATCCAGGTCAACCTGCTGAACGTTGCGGGAATTTGTTTGTTGGCGATGCCATCCTTTCCGTAAATGGGATCGACCTTCGTTCTGCGAAGCATATTGAAGCTGTACAAATTCTCTCAAAGCAGGTTCAATTGAAATTATCATTAAAAATTATCAAAATAGAAAATAATTGATTTAATAATTGATAGCATACTTTTAATTTCATATAAAATTCATTCGAAGAATTCATTTCACTGGATGAGTAAATCTCGTAAAGCAAATCATTAGTGATATATATTTTAATATAATATAATATTTACAATACTAAATAATTAAGGACCATGAATTAAATATGGAAGTAGTATTCGTCGCACCCGATCAAGATAGCGATGATGAAGCTGAAGTTTTCGTTGAAACACAAGATGGATCTGTGTAAATTTTTTTTTTATTTAAATTAAATTCTGCCAAATCGTTTAAACGAAATCCAAGCGCTGCTGGCGAATACCTAAATATTTGTCGCCAAGTTCCATGCGAAAATTCCTCGCCATACCAACAGCCTAGAACAGCCCAGCGGAACCCAGTGGCTAATAACGTTTTTTTCTATTTTTTATGACAAAAATTATTCTTTTACAAAGTCATCGTCACATATTCTATTAAATCACTGCTTGGATTAATGAATATTGCTGAATCGTTCGAAGTGAAATTCGAATTGTTTTCAAATATTTTCGATGAAAATTTGTGAATTTTAATGATTTATTTTTATTTCACTGATATTTTGTAAAACTTCAAATTTCAATCATCAAAATAATATATTGAATAAAGTTAGCACTATCTCCGATTACTTCCTCCACTGATTATTCATATTTAATGAGACAATTTTGGTTGAAAACCATTTTAGACTTGGAAGTGGGGGGTGAATCTCAAACTTTGATTTTTTAATAATGGGTTTACTTTTGCTATAAGTAGTTGCCGAATCTGATGCTTGAAATGATGATATGGGTAACTTATATTCAGCCATGCTTATTAGCTTATTGTTGAATTATCAATAATATCGAAAATATCTGTTATCATCAAATCCTGATCAGCTTAGACGTTAGGCAGACCTTAGCCTTAGCTTATATGAACTTTAGCAATCTCGATTATAAATATTTTAATTTCAGTTTATTAATTTTCAGCTTTAACTTATACGAGCCATTTAATGAGCGAGATTCTTTAACTGCAGGACAATCAGCAAGCAGTTGTTCGTCATCCGCATCTCACCGTAGTGATATAATTGTTACTAATGGTGATTCGGCAAAAAATGCTACGACCCATAACAAGGGATCAGTTATGTAATTTATTATCGACTGATAGCGGGTATTTAATATTTAAAATGTTTGTAATGCAGTCGATTAGTCAAAATATAATGAAAAAATGCATTTTAGTAAAATATTATAGGAATACGCTTAATACGCTTCAAAAATCATCATCTTTTTGAGTAATAATTTGAGTATTTCTGGAAGATTATTCTGATTACGGATTTTATTTCTCTCATCCAGAAATATACCTTGTTTTGTATATAATATTTTCGTCTAACCGAATTTTCATGAAATATTCAATTTTTTCTGTAATTATTTCTTATTTATTACTGAAAATAATTCTATGAATTTTTAAACTTTGAATTCTTGACGATCTTTTTCTGGAGTGGACAAATTTTTTTCTCGCGCTTTCTCGGTTTATTAGGTTTTGTTGATTGGCGTTGTATTTAATCTTAATTTATTGCATTTTTTTTTGTTCCTATTTTTTTGCTTTTTGTTTTAATTGCTTTAATCGTTGATGCTTTTTTTAAGAAAAAATTCCCAAAATTTATGGGCTATGAAATAAAATCGGTTGGGTTCATTTTCCGAAAAACTCTCCAAATATTTGTCAAGTAGAATTGTGATTTAGGCCTATTTTTAATCTTAAATAACTGGTGAAATTGTGGATTTTTTCCATTTTATTGCCTAATCTATTAATTTATTTTTCTGCTCAGTTAACTCATAAATTTTCGTTAGTTTTTTTTTTTTTTAAATGTATTATTTTGCTTAAAAATTGCAATGCTAGTTGTTTTTTGTTAATATGTAAATAATAAACAAATGAATTCGCAGAAATATTAGTTTTTGCAAGCTAAAATCTAAAAACTGCATTTTCGCGCATTACGTGAATATTCACGAATTATTATATTCTTTGTTGTAATTATAATTCCTAAAAAAAATTTACATATTTCTAATATAAGGAATGAGAAAAGTTAAAAGTTAAAAAATTAGAAGTTATAGCTAGAAAAGTTATTATTTTTATTTTTGGTGTTCGACTAATACATCATTGCATTCTCCTTAGTTGATAGTCGAGCCTGGCCGAGTCAGAAATTGGCGTTAGAAGACGAGAAATGGTATGATTATATGAGCCGTTATAAAAGCGTTGAGTTCGCGAAATTTTCCAATAATAAGGCTTATCAGTGCTGACTTTTATAAAATTGATATATCATGCTGCTATTTCTTCCTCTTATCTAATTCTGCTTCTATTTCTGATTCTGATTATTCGAATAGAATTTTTATCACTTGAGAACCACTTTGAAAATGGAAATATATTATAAATCATTAGCATTAATAATCATTCTTTATAAAATGAGAAATTTTTACAAATAAAAAATTGCTGCAATATTTATTAATTTTTAAATTCAATACAAAAATTTTTAATTTTTGAATGATGCAATTATAATTTTTTCTAAAAACAAATGCAAATGTTTTAATTTTATTTATTTAATTTATTTTATTTATTTATTTAAATGATATCATGGTAAAATAATTTTTTAATTCAACAAAAAAACACGCCAAATTGCCAATAACGCATTTTATTCAAATATATAAAAAATAATGGATTAAAAAAAAATCACGCATAAGCACTCGAATATTTATTGTATTTTTTTCATGTGATATGATATGATATGATATGACATCATCCAGAAAATTCATTGCAATTAATGAAATTGATAATTTGAAACTTTTCAATCCATAATTTTTGCATTCAAATTTAAAATTTCCAAAATTCAATTCTACGTTTTTCTACGCTTAAAAATATAGAATTTTAACAATTTTTATAGCTCATATAGTCCGCAATTTTCGAATTCAACGTTTTTACGCACAAATACAATTTCTTGCAAAGTTCATTTCGTTTATAATTTTCAAATTTACATTTAACAAATTTCTTTCTTTTTTTTTGCTAATTTTTACAAAAATTTATATTAATTTAAGTCAAAAAAAAAAGAAAAAATTAATTAGTTATTTTAATAAAAAATTTCGTTTATTAAAATTTTATCAAAATTTTCTTGCATTTTATATTCGTTGGTTGGAAATTCTCTTTCTTCTCCTATGAAATGAAATGACCTTTTGACCTTCAAACCCGAAATTTTCTATAGTATTGATTGTTCTTGACGATAAAAGTGTTAACTGGTTTATTGATTCAATGATCGTTGTAAACAAGAAAGAAATGATCACAATCCTCATCATTACCACGCTTAGTTTTGTATTTTTTCTCTTCTCTAATCCTGAATTATTAAAATTTTTATTGCAAAATTAATAATATTTAATGATTTATGAAAAAGAAAAGAAGCCTCTCTATTAATTTTTATATAAATTTTCAAGTGAGAGAATTTTTATATAAATTTTAAAATAAGAGAATTTTTTATAAATTTTAAAATGAGAAAATTTTTATATAAATTTTAAAATGAGAAAATTTTTATATAAATTTTAAAATGAGAAAATTTTTATATAAATTTTAAAATGAGAGAATTTTTATACAAATTTTAAATTTTAAATATTAAAATGAGAGAAACGAGATTTCGTTATCAAATTTTTATTTAATTTCTCTCGATTTTTGACAAATTTTTTTCTAATGACAAAATATCTTTTGAACGAAATTCTTTTCTAAAAAATTATTGCTTAAGCACTGAAAAAAAAAACAAGATTAATCTAAACATTCAACCATATAAAATGTTCAACGAGCGAACTAAGCTGATTATCAACTGATTATCAACGGAGATTTAGAAGAGATTTTATTAAACATATACGGTCATAAGTGATTTTGATCAAAATCATCAAAAAAGCGATATATGTGTTTAGATAATGGAAAAAGCAGTGGCTTTAGCTATTTTCAGGATTAGCGTCGAGTCGAGAAGCTTATAAACATCTTATCAATGAAGCCAAGCAAAGCGAACTATAGCAATGATGTGGGCAATTAGAAGAAATAATGAAACTATATAAAATTTTGCATGAATTGCATATCATTTTCGTCAATTTTTTTTTTATTAGAAAATATATTTTTCCTAAAAGTTTTAATAATTTTTAAAATAAAACTGAATTTTTTTATATAAATTTTATTTATTAAAATTATTTTTAAATAATTATTTAATTCATTTCTTTATTCCAATTATTTATTTGCAAATTGCTAATCTCATTTATGAAAAAAAACGAGAACAAATATTATTCTTTTTTGATTTTCTTTTCGACTATTGTTCATTTTTCATTTGATATTTCGAAAAAATTGCATTTTTTTTATTATTTAATTTATAATAATTTAATGCTTTGAAAAATGGAAAGAGAAAGAGTATCGATGAAGCATTGATGGATAATAGTTTTTTTTTTTGGTTTTGTGGAAGAACTGAATCATTTTTGTATGCCTTATTGATTGTTCATTTGACGTCAAAGAATATTAATTGATGATAACTATCGTCGTTTATCAGTGAATATGAATGATATCGTTAGTGACATCCCTCTTTGTCAATCTCTTTTTTTTTCCTATTCGCCATTATAAATATAAATAATTATTAGTTGAATAATTTATTAAACATGTTTTATATATATCAAATTACCACTATTATTCATATTCATATGCATCACATTTAATTCATCTAAAATCTTTATTATTTTAATAAAATATATTTATTGCAATAAACGAAATTAAAATTCGCATGAAAGAATCGTTCTTAGCAAATTTACTTTTTTCTTTTTATGCAATAATTCTCATAAAAACTTTTTAATTTTTTCAATTCTTTAGATTTATTTTATAAATATTTTTATAGAAAGATTTTTAGGAATAAGATTTTACAACAAAAAAAAGGATTTTCTTTCTCCTATAAAAAAGAAAAAAAGAAATATGATTTGATAATGGAGAACAAATGGTACTAAGCAGTTGTCTTTTATTCATTTACAAGTAGGTTTATGGCAAAGAGGTATATTCTCCCAATCGCTAGTAGATACAGATTATTTGCTGCAGCGAATTTGAATGCTATTAAGAAGATATATTGGTAGAATTTTCATTATTTTTATGTGATTCGCTTCAAAATCTTCAATGAAATTTTTGAAAATTTTCATTATTTTTTCTTGTGTTCATTACAAAAAAAACGATTGTTTTTCCATAAAAATGGTTGGAGTTCATTATTTCGGCTTAACTCAATTTCTTAATATGGTTAGAAATTTTTCTTAATATGGCCGGAGAGTGTAATCGGGTCACTTGCATCACTCGGATTTTGTAATGACCGATATTTTACTTCTAAAGAAAGTAGAAATTTTCGCTATCAACACGATAGTATATCCGCTTATCCGCTCGCTTATCGTATCCCTCTTGTTTCATAACTTTTTCATTATTAATTTTATAAAAATTTCTTTGTAAAAAAAAAGTTTTCTCTTAATTACATAAGTCTTTTAATAATGTATTGTTATAATTTTTTATTTGTTATTCGTATTTTTATAGATAAATTTTCTAAATATTTATTTTTTTATCAATATTCAATTTCTATAAATATTTTTTTTAAAAAATAGAAGAATAAAAATTTTCATCACTATTTATAATAAAAGATAAATAAAGATGAATTGTAATATTATAAAATCGCATATAAATATTTTTCTATTTTTTTATAATATATTACTATTGAAAGATTTTTCTATTTTAAAAAGCGACCTCCAAGCCATATATCGTCGAAAAGTAACGAAAAATCCGGAAATGATTTATTTATATAAATATATAAATTTTTTCGAATTTCGGGTGGCTGTTATATATTCGTTCGTTCCAACTATGACGTAATGAGGAAAATGTTGATATATAAAAAAACGCGATTCTAGTTGGATTCAAATGTTCGCAGTATATTTTTTTATAAAATAAAGCAAATGGTATGTTTTAATCGTTTTTATTTTTTTAAGCTAAAAATTTATTTAAATTTAAATTTAAAAAAAAAAAAATTTATGCGAAATTTCTATTGTTCATCGTTCGTCTTATGGCGTTCTTTTAGAGGAAATCGTCTTCAATTGCTTTTGATATTCGCCATGAATAACACTAAGCGATAATTATTGAAATCCTTTTAGAAAAAAAACGACCACTGATTAAAAGTCCATTATTGTCAAATCCATCTTTTTTTCCATGTGAAATGGCTTAATGTCAAATATATTTCTCCGCAAAATATGTTTCTATTCTATTTTTATGATATTATCAATGATATTATCAATGATATTAAAAATACTAATACTATTATTATAGATAATCCTAAAATCGAGCCAAAATCATAGCTAAAAATGATTAAAATAAAAATAATTAGATTAATTATTAATTATTAGATTAATTATATCGAACAATGATCGCTTCAATAAGAAGAAATTTATTTAAAAAAATTAATCGCTGCATGCTTGCGATTGCTGGAAGAAACGCTTATTTATTTCGTGCTTACAAGTTGTTTGTTTGCAAATCCCTTTTTATAACATTTTTTTTTCCTTTTTCCAAGAGGTAATTTAATGAGATCCATAGAATTTTTTTTAAGGCAAAAAACATTTTTGCGCACTTTTTTTTTTTAATTTCATAGTTTCTTAATTTTCTTTCACCATTTCTCTTTTATTTTTGCGATTTTAATGACTTTTATGACTAAATTTTTATTTCATCGATATTTTACTGTTATTTTATTTTAATATTTATGTAAATTTAAATAGATAATAAAAATAGAATTTAAAAGAATGGCAGAGTGGTGTATTTGCTTAGAATATTTTTTAAAGCGCAAGCTTATGCTGGCTTAAAGTAAGCTTACCTCTAGATTAAAGTGGATTCTATGGCGGAAGTACCCTTACTATATAGCTAGTTGAATTGTCCATATTAGAATCAATGAGTACCATCCATCCACTAAACAAGAAAATAATATTTTTTGAATAGATGATAAATATATGAGCACCAGTTTATATATTTCTTCGGCCTACTTAGCAGATTAAGAAATAATTTTTTTATTATGAAAATTATTGGTCTCAGGTCAAATGCGTTCATTTTTGCCGTAGTTCTGAAATTAAAAAATTTTATTATTTGATGCAAATAGAGTGCTTGTAACTGTGTAAAGAACCAAATATATATATTTATATATGCTCCAAATAATTTGTCCAAACAGGTTTATCGTTCAGATGCTTTGATTTCCTGCGCCGTACAACACATTTTTATATATATTATTATTGTTATATTATAGTTTAAAATCTTTGATTTTTAATTTCTCAATGTTTTTTAATATATAGCTATTATGATTTAAATTTTTGATGGTACTATCACGGAATATAATCACCAGTTGGATTTATTTTTAGTGATAAGACTACTTTGTAGAACTCTGTTATCTATTATTTTATTGCATATTTTGCATTATATACTAAGAAGGTCAAGCAAACTTATATAGAAAGACAAAAAAAAAACAATAAAGCATGGAATAAAAGCTAAAATAAAAAATGGAAGTGGAATTTTACAGAAGAATTATTTGTGGGTTGAAATTATAGTACAATACAAACGAATAGAGCTACACAATTATGTGAATGAATGATATCACTAATAATGATATCAGCTGTATCATTTGATAATTTATTCCAATCATAACATGAATGATTTACAAATTAATGAGTAATTTCTATCCATAATACAATCTTATTTTTTTCTTTTTTTGCTAAATAATAGTCGGAGAAAAGTTTTAGGACTGGTTAACGGTAAATAGGAATGATTATTTTTTTACAAGCCCATCATTTTTGGTGAAGTTCGCTCTACTCGTTCTATTAGGATGCGATTTTTTCGCTTCTTAGAGGATCACTTCAAATTCCCGAATTTTTAAATAACCGATTTATTTTTGCTTTATTTTTTAAGATAGACTGGTGGCTGATATTACTCTAGAAGCGACAAACTGAGAAGAAAACACTCGGCTATCCTGTCTCAAAATCAAAAATTAATGTTGATCATTGTGTATGTATTATTGAATAGAAAAATATTTGATTAATTTCATATTTCATTTTTAATTATTAGTCATTTTATAATTTTTAATTTAATAATTTTTTTTTCGATAAATATTTTGGTCGCTTTTCAGTGTGGTTTAAAGTAATTTTTGCTAAGTACCACTTCACCTGGGCAACATTGAAAATTTGTTACTATGGATTTTGAAAATTTTCTTATCTGATTTTTTTTATTTTATATCGTATAGATCAACAGATCAATTCAATTTGCGACAACCTGAACTGCATAAATTCATCAAAAAATGGTCTTTTTAGTAAAAAAAAAGGAACATAATCGTAAAAAAATTCCATAGATTTCTGTTCTTTTCATTTTCATTTGGGAAATGGAGGAAAGAATAAATAGTTTTATATTTTAAAAAAAAATTAATATAAATCAAGTCAATCAAGACGGGGAAAAAAATAGTTTTCAAGTTATTCGACAACAATAACGAGTTTTGCTTTGTAATAAAATAAGTTTTCCAATTTGAAAACTTCAATTTTTTTCAGTTTTTTTTGTAAAAGACTTTAGCAAATAAATTAGAGAGAAAATTAAAGAATTCGAATGTTTGATTCTTTTATGTATGAAAGGACCCATTATTAATTTAATCGTCCTCCCTTCGTCCTGATTAAATAAAATAAATGGTTAGCGGTCATCATTTCCGATTAAGTCTATTTTACTGATTATCACTATGATAAAAAATTTTACCCAGTGAACCACATGGCAACAGAAATACACAGGCATTAGCACTGCTCGGATTTTTTAATGACAAATTTATTCCCGTCAGAGATGACGTCCAAGCGTTACATTCGGCTGTTCTCCTTCCTCTTTTTTGCTTTTTTTTTTCATTATAGAAAAAATTTCTTTGAAAAACCTTAGTGTTTGGGCAAAAATAAAAAAAAAAGGTTCAGACTAAAAGAAATGAATAATTCAGTGAGTTCGGGAAAATTGCATTTTTGTAATTGTATTTTTTATATATTTAGAAATTTTTTGTAAGAAATTTTTAAAATTTTCAATAGAAATTTTTTCTACGGTTTGGCATGAAATTAACTTTCTAAATCGAATGGTTAGAATATCGTATATCTCTTAAAAATCTTTAATCTTGATTGACACTTCGGTTTTTTTTTTTGCATTTTTTTGTCTCAAAATTTTGTCATTTTAATTTTATCATTTTTATCATTTATCATTTTTGGTGATTTTAACAACTTTATCTAATTTTCACTAGATCCATCTGATTTTTAAAAGAATTATTATTAACATATCGATTATCTTTTCGAAGAATAATCTCTGAGTTTATTGCTAATAAAAGTGAAAAGTTGTTAGATTAATGGGCTCAACGCATAGTCGGCAAACAAATGCCGGGCGACCAAGGCAAAGAAATAAAAATTGTTGGCCATTTGCGATAAACGAAGAAAATAATCCTGGTTCGTCAACTTGTGAGAAGTAAGCGTTTAATTTTACTAATTAATATAACTGTAGATATGAATTTAATGAACTTATTCCAAGAATTTCCTATCATTTATTAACTTATTCGAATTCAGCTAATATCGAAAAGATCTTTTGCTCCTTAAAAGAATGCTTCAGCAGATTTAACCCTCTCTAATGCAATGGCAAATCTTATCCTTTAAAAATATCATTTATCTTTTAGTATGACCTTTAAAAAGACAAAGGATAACTGCAAAAAAATTCCTTTAAAGTTTTTTAAAGCTAAAAATGGAAAATATTGTAAGATTTTTTAATGATAAGAATGATTTTTAATGATAAGATAAATAAAAAAGTGATTATAAGATTTTTTGATAAAAACTTTAAGACGATTTTTAAAGGTGCAAAAAAATCAAATATTACGCAATGTTTGAAATAGATAATTTTCATAAATAATTTGGTAAGGTCAACGTCGTTTATTAACGATGAGAAATGCAAATCAGCTAAAATAGCAGCAGCTACTGCTGCTGCTGGTGACTGCAGTATATCGCCTAATAAAACTGAAGGAAGAAATCGTCCACCGTCATTAGCATTAAATGAGCCTTCAACCAGCTTATTACCATCATTATCACCTACATCGTCAACAACTTCATCGGATTCTACAGCATTCTATTATACGACAAACGAAATGTTATTGCAGGTTATTTTCTGGATGAATACTTTTTACTAAAAATCCATGAAAGTAGAATTATTTTTTAAATCTTAAGGTTTCATCTATCATTTTCTAATCAGTCTAGATTAGATAAGAAGAAAATGATAAGAAGATAATCAAGATGTGCATAAAATTTCATAATTAATAAATTTCCGAAAAGCTATATGGATAATAAAAATTAAGAATTTATATATTTATAAAAGCAAAAGCTTGAATCATCGAGGAACTTATCATTTTCAGATAATTAGATGTTTTCCTTTTCCAAGTCCGAAATCCTCTCCGCTTCCTTCACCATCGTCAACCCATCGTAATCTTGAAAGAGCACTATCGATGAATTCGGAGATAAAAGAAAAACAATATAAAAAATCTAACCGATCAAAAAGCATAAGTGAAGCAAAAAAAACCAAATGTTTGGCAGGGGTAAAATTTAGTTTTTACGATTTATTCATTATTTTTGCCTATAATTTAGTGAAGAAAATAAAAATAGTTAAAGAAAGCAGTACAAAGTTCTATCGATGAAACGAATTTCTCTTTTTAAAAATTAATAGTACCTTCAATTTTTTATCATATATTATCATTGACGTCAAATAATTTTTATTATAATCGCCTATGAATGCAATTAATAATTTTTTAAAAAAAAAAGATAATTCAATTTATTATTTGTTTTTTTAACGAAATATCTCCTCATTCGTTGCAAAATAAGAAAATTGATAAATTGAAAAAAAAAAACTATAAAAGAATTCAAAAGAATGGAAATGATCAACTTATGATGGACTCGGTTAAAACTTATTGGATTATGTTTTGAAGTTTTCCCCTTAAGTCCATATTTCCAGTCAAAATAATAAATGATAAAATGATAATTATAGATGAGCAGTAACAATTCTCCGCAAAGCAAAACTCCATCATCTGAGAATAAAACGGGCGATTCAGGAAGTGGAGTGGTCGAGAAGCTCGCCATGGTTTGATTATCATTTTTTTATTGCTTTTTTTCTAGCGTAGTTTTTTCTAAATTTTTTAAGTTCTACATTTTTTCTAAATTTGATAATCAACTATTCGTCTTGGTCATCCATTTGTCATTGATTTTTTTAAAATTATATTTAAAATTTTGAATTTAAATTTAAATTTATATTCATTTATAATTTTTATATTTTTAAATTTGAATTTAAAAAGGCGAAATTATTTCATTTTTAATTCTATTTTTAATTGAATATTTTATTATTTTAATTTTTCTTTTGCTAATCAAAAGTTATTTATTTCGTATTGCATTATCGATTATCATTATTAAAATATGACAGCTGATAAGGCGAATGATAAATTGGGGTTCGATATTGACTTTTAAAAATCCCGATTTTTATAAATTCTTTTTAATTTTTATTATAGACCGAGAAGGAAAGAACTCATTCAACAATAATGTTCAACCATTGAACCATTTTTTTAGGCTCAAATTATCATTGCTTTTATCAATAGTTGTTATTTATTTACTTTCGCTTGAATTTAACGTTATATTTTTTGAGAGTTCTTGTTCACTTAATTTCGTTTTAATTACCACTCACATTTTTCGAAACGGTTAAATCTGAGTCTTTTTTTTTATTCGAAGGCTTAATTATCCTGGAAAACTCGCTTTTGTCTAGATTCATTATAGTGGATGTGAGTTATGCAACTTTATTGGAGAAATTATTACTTAGATTTGCTCGTGCTAGCTCGTCAGACTAGAAAAATGTGCCAGAGAATCTCTTAGCGATGGAAATACAGGTGAATCGCCAGCATTACTCAGATTTTTGGACAAGTTTACTCCTGCATGAATAGCATCTCATCATCTGCGCCCGTTGAGCAATAATTCGCTCACTGACCCATTCTACTCCTTTTTTGAGGAAGTTTAAGTACTTAGCACCACCACTTTGATTTTCCCTTTCATTGTTGATGGAAGGAGAGGGCAAAGCACAACATTCGATATATCTAAGTTGTGTGTTGCGTTTCCTTAGCTTGATTGATATCAAACAGATTTTATTTTGACAAGTTTTTGCAAAGAATTATAGACGAAAATATCAAAAAATTTTTAATATTCTCATGTATATTTATAAATATATCTATTTTCGAAATCGATCTATTTATATTTTATATCTTCCATTTTAATTGAATTTTCTTCCTTCATTTTGTTTGTTTAGCAATATTATTGTCTTATTTTTGAATTTTTCTATAAGGTCAAAGGTTTATCAAGATTGGTGAAAATTTTGATAAATTTGAGTTTATATGAATAAAAAACTATGCTTATTAATAAATATTTAACGCTTATTTCGTTGGTACTTCGAGGAATTTTTGGTGAGAAGAAAAACTTGGCGGGTAGAAATAAAGATGAATGCATTATACGATGGCGTTCTATCAATATAGTTCCATTCAATTTCTGATAAATAATCCTATTATTTTAAAGATTTAAAGGACATTCTTCTTAATACAAATGGAATAATTTATAATTATATTTTCTCAGTAAGGTAATGAATAAATGTGTGTGAATAAAATTTTATCACGTATGTGTGTTTAGTCCCAGTGGTAATTGGAGCTTAAGAGTATTAAAAGTATTATGATTTATGATTCCCTAACGGGAAGAGTATAATATCTTTATCCAAGAGAGGGCTAAGATATTGCGCAAAATCCTCATTTCTTCCAGGCCTCTTATAGCAGAGCCAAGGTTAAGGATGATTTTTACTACCCACAAGGAGAGAAAACGATTTGATACATATGTAAAGGTCGAGAGGTATGTTGCTTCTGTTAAGATGTCATAAATTCGATTTTGTGCTTTAATAGGATCAAAGCTATCATTAAAATTTCATTATCAAGAAACAAAGGATCTTATTCTAATAATCCTTGGAACTAAATAAGTCAGGAATGATTAGCAGCAAGAAGATGAAGAGAAGACGCCTCTCCTATGCTTCCTCCTATCAATTCCTTCGATTATTAAAACACGGCGAGGTGATTCGATAATAATCAGTCGTTTTCGTTGTATTCCTTATGTCTTCTTTAATTCTTCGTATTTCTATTTTATTTTATAATTAATATCGTTCTTTTATATAATCATAGAACATTTGTTCCTTTATCTAAATTTGTCCTCTACGAGAAAATTCTTTTCCGTTAGAACCAAATGGAAGCCAAAAAATATTTTTTATTTGTAATGTATTTTTTATTAATTAATTTATTTTTAATGCCACTAATAGGCACATTATTAAAATTTAGAATTATAAAAATCGCTTTCTAATATATATAAATAAATAATTTATTTATATATATAATAAAATATATATACTAACAGCCATAGGAATTAGTTTGTTACCGTATAATTTCTAATCTGTCTAGGTTTTTAGACTTTGACCATAAAGCGATTAAGGAAGCGTCCTAAGGGAGTCTGGCAAATGCGAAGTCCTAACTGCTAATTTATATTAATTTATACTAATTTTTTATATTAATAATTGATATAATTCTAGAGATCTATATATGCTTCAATATTCAGTACTTTTTCCTTTTTTGCACAACTTCTTACAATAGTTGTAAGAAAATGCCTTAGAAATATTTGGCTAAAAAAGTTTTTTCACTTTTAAAATTGTAATATGGAGAGAGGAATTATTTTACATTGTTTTTAGAAGAATTTTCCTTGTAAAATTTAAGTTCGAATTTATTTTTCTAAAACTCATTCATGAAAATTTTATTCTTGTTGAAGTTTATTCTTTTATTTTGCATATGCAAAATCATGGAAATCATGGAAATAATATTTTCTCGAGTGCTTCGACTAAGATCGAATATAACAAATAAATTTTTATTACTTGACAAGAGACATAAATTTATTCTCATGTGAAACGAGGACGTTACTACTGATCCACTTGTGGCTTTGTTTGCAAATAACTCTTTGGTGAACGATTCTCGCCTTTATTATCGACTAATGAACACCAGAAATTGAACCAAAATTCCTGCACATTGTAATGAACAATGAACAATGAAGATTGTAGTGCTATAAAAATGGTTTATTACTTCGTCTAAAATCGAAGAATCGCAAGTTTTTTATTATGCAAATTTAAGAATATTATTATTATTATTTTATTATTATTTTACGCTAAACTATTTTCTTCCTTTTTTTGCGAATCTCTTTTGTTCATTTCATTTCAAAAATCTTTTTCATCATTTTCGTCATAGATTTTTTTGTCGTATTTTTCCTTTTTTTTTATGAACGATTTAGCTTTATTATTTTTCAAATGATTTTTCAATGATCAAATCAATGCAATAAATGCAGTTCGTTATTGCCCGATAGCAATGCACTTTTGCCAAATTTTTTTTTCTCTTTAATTTGTTATTTTATTACGATGAAATTGCCAATCGATTTATATTGCTTTAAAATAAGAAATTTAGTTTTTAAAATTTTAATATTACCAACAATTTTCAAAAATTTTTTCTTTTTTATTAATATTTGTACTTATTGTTGAATTTCAAATTTGAATTGTCCTTCTTTAAATTATTATTTTTCTTTATAATTTTGATAAAAATTGCTAAATTCGGGCATTTTTTTCGAACAATTAAATATTAAATATGAAATATTGCCATTGTTTTTATTTTAAGTTTAGTCCTCTTAGTTTATTCTAAATTTCTTATCAATGGAATCAGCCGGTGGAACCAGCTTGAGCAATGACGAAGCGTGTTAGTAAACATGCATGTTAGTGAAAAAACAGAACAAGTAGCTTGTTTCAAGAGCGATGTGGGGATCACATGTTGTTTCGGTGAAAACTATGAATTTTATTATTTTTGAAGATAGTAAAATCGTTAGAAAGCTCCATTCATCCATTTTATCCTCAAAAGAAAGGATTTTTCTTTAAAATTCAGTGGGAATCAGCTAAAAGAATTGTGTGAATTTAAAATTTATATTTATTTTTATAATTATATATTATTTTTATTATGGTAGAATGGCTCAGTGGGTTGTTGCTCAGTTAGGAGCGCCGATGCTGAGGTTCAATTCTCCACAGGAGTAAACCTGTACAAAAATCCGGGTGATGTTGGCGACTCATCTGTATTTCTATACTTAATAACAAGAGACTCCATGGCGTATTGTCCAATGCGACAAGCCAGCGGAGCTATTTTAACCAGTAATATTGAGGACCTTTAGAAAAAAAAATATTATGTATTAAGTATTTATAATTTACATTTATTTATGTAATTGTTAATTATTTTTTATTAATTCCAGTTTGTATTTAATATTTAATATTTATATTTACATTTATTTAATTTATTTAATTAATTACATTTAATCAAATATTTTTCTAGGAGGTTTTATCCCCAAAAGGCTTTTATTTTGAACGTCAAAATTTATTCGGTAGATGGTGGCGGACAAGACTGTCTTCTCTTTCTTTACAGAAATAAACCTCTCAATAAGAAATCCTATTATTGCTTATTTATGTCTCTATCTACCCGTGAAAGATTTCCCATGGTACCAACAACTGGTGGGATAAGTTTAATCGAAAAAGATATGCGACCGATAACCAATATGTGGAAAATATTTGTCTATGCTTTGAATCAAATATTTTCATTACAAAAAACTAAATTACTAAATCAGAATTTATTCTGCTAAAAATATTTTCTAAAGAAAGCCTCCTTAATTGCTATGAATTATTCATGATAAGCTCTTCCTTAATTTCACTTTTCTTTTCCATCATTTCCTATGTATTTCTTTCAAATTTGCCACTATTCATTCATTACTTAAAATAATTAGTTGGACGGCTTTGTTATTAGAGATCAGAGATCTCTAATTATTAGCTTTTTTTATCATTTTATCACTATGAATAGCATTATTTATTTAATTATTCACTTAAAAAATAGAATGATAAATTTCAATTGCATAATCAAAATAAAACAATGTATATAATAATATATGTAATAATAAAAAATAATAAAATATAATAATCAAAATAAAATGTTTTTTAAAATAATCAGAATATTTTAAATAAAATTCGGATTTCTTTTTATTAAAAATAAAATTTTATAACAAAAATTTTGCATGCTTGATTTTGATTTTTTTAAAACTTTTTCTGCCTTTTGGTTACTTATTTAATTTTTTTTAGAATTTAGAATTTAAATTTTTTATTATTTGCTTTTAATTTTGCCTGATTAATATTTTAGATAAGGTATAATCAGAAATAAAATAAAATGGTTAGCGCTTGCCGTTTCTTTTTTTGGTTCACCTAGTTGTGCCGAATGGTTAGCGCTTGCCGTTTCTTTTTTTGGTTCACCTAGTTGTGCCGAATGGTTAGCGCTTGCCGTTTCTTTTTTTGGCTCGCCTAGTTGCCCCGAATGGATAATATATATTTTCTTTGTAATTTTATATTTTTGGTTCCTCGAACGATTCCTTTGAATATTTTTTTTGGCTTTTTTTTTGTAGAAAAATGTTCGTTGTATTCGTTGGAATATAAATTAAGAAATTGAAAATTAAGAAATAATTTATTTATTTTCTTTTTATATTTAAATTGTTGAATTTTTTTTTTTTTTAGCATTTAATTGTTAATTTTTTTTTCGTTTTTTTTTAATTTCTTAACAGCATTTTTCATTCATTTAACGTTTTTTTTCATGAAATTTCATTTTATTTTATTCAATCAAAATGAAATTTAAAATATTTTTTACTTATTTTAAAAATATTTTAAGTAATTTAAGCAATTCGCTAAGTGATCAAAGATCATTATTTCTGATTCAGCTCGCTGCGAATATTTTTGTTTAGGGAAATTTTTGCCAAAGAAAATTTTAACTTGGCGATAGAAGTTGAAAAAAAAAGGTGAAATGAATCCGTTTCGCGGTACGTTTACTCGTATCGGACGATAATTTTCTAGAATCTCCTCGAAGGCTTTTTTTTCCATTCCATATCGATAATAGAATTCCAAAAGAAAGCAATTTCCCAAAGTGCTTTAGAAATAGAAATATTCCTTACTCCGCCGACTTGTCGCATTGAGCGTGCGAGAGAGTCCTTTGGCGATAGAAATACAGGTGAATCGCCAGTATCATCCGGATTTTTGGACAGGTTTACCCGTGCGGGGAATCGAACCCCAGCATCGACGCTTGCAATTTAGCAACAACCCACTGAGCCATTCTATCCCCAATATTAGAGTTATAGCATTAGAGTTGAGTTGTAAAATAGATTTCGACCGCTGAGAGGAGTAAAGCCATTATTAAAAATGAAATGGATCATTGCTGATTCATGAACTTTGATAAACTAATAGATTTAACAGATCGCAAATCATTCTAATTTATTTTTATGATAGGCATCCGCATTTAAATGCTATTAAAATCCTCTTTTTTTAAATAAATTTTTAAGACCTAAAAATTGTTTTATATTATGACTGAGTATTCTTTCTGGAACATATCGTCTCAAGATGATTGTCAGTTTGTTAAACGGCAAATCGTATACTCGTTAAGTTGAACGGAGCGATTCAATTCGTATAGGGGGACCAGCGACAGATGGAATTAGACGATGGAAAAAGGAATGGCTTCTATTACAATTAGCGATGACGTCGAACCGAGCAGCTTGGAGATGTCTTACTCTTGTAGCCAGCGGACCCAGCTTAACCAGTAATGGTGAGAGAGCCTGTTAGAAGAAATCGCATGTCGCTTGTCGTTACGAGTGCAGTACTCGTTAAGCGCCGATTCTGAGGTTCTAACTCTTCTAACTCTTCGTAAGAGTAAATTTGTCGAAAAATCTGAGTGGCGCTAGCGATTCATCTTCTGTTTCTATCGCTATGTCGAGTATTTCTGGAATACATCGACTATTTTAAGCTTATTTAATTTTTTATAGAATTGAACCAACAGTGAGAATGAAAAACTTTGAAAATTGTGTTTAATTATTTATTTATTTATTTATATTTATTGTATTTATTTATATTTATTATATTTATTTATTTACCAGTAAAATTTAGTTATTTATCAGTTATTTACCAGTAAAGTTTAGATTTATCAGTTATTTATCGGTAAAATAGCAAATTTTTCGTTAATTTTACGAAGATTTATTTCAGATGAAAATTTCTTGATTGATGTTTATCATTTTCTTAAATATTAGGCAATATTATTTATTGCTGAAGAGAAATTGAAACATTTGAAACGTTGTGATTAATGCTGGCTATCAAAATTTTGCCAATATTACAGGTGTCAGTCGATACAATGGCCATTACTGCTTTACCATTGAGTTATTGGCTAAAAGAACGTTTAAAAAGTTGGGTTCAGCTTTCCGGTCATGAAGGTCTCCTTTATCATTTATTGATTTTCATTAAAATTTTTAAAAAAATAAAAAAATAATAAATTATTGAATGAATTATTCATAAATTATTTTATAAAGAAATAGTGTCGCCAAATGGCGAAAAATAGTTGCAAAATATGAGCACAATTTATGAGCGCAAAATTTATAATATTGTTGACAAAATAAAAGTCCCGCGTGGCAGGAAATTTATTAAATCTATACAAAAAACATAGTGGAGCGGATTCCCGAGGGAATTTTGTAATGTTAGATATTAGAAGTCGGAATCGCCATGCTCTCACCAAAAATCGTGTAGCTAAATTTTCTGTACATGGTGCGTTAGCCGGGAAAGAAATGGTATATTGATATATGTTTAGATTGTTAATTCAAGAATTCATAGTTCTTTTGACGAAGAATATCGAAAATCAAATCTTAATCGAGCTCATATTTTTCTCGACTTAATTCCCGAACTTGTTACTTAGGAGGGTTGAGGGGGCAGTTAAATCCAAATGATAAGCACTACTGAATAAAAATTCCAGTTCAACCAAAATGATAAGCATTGTTGTCGAAAAAAAATTATTATATTGATTATCCTTTTATAAAATTAAACTAACATCAGAAAAATGTCGAATTAGAATTTTTTTATTTTATTAAAGGTACAATCGTACCCGCTACGGACCGAACATTATGGAAGAGAAAATCTTGCAACGATTCGAATGAAGCCACTGCCTATCGAAGACTTATGGATGATCCATGCCTCGAAGGCTTTGTACCCCGATTTTACAAAGAACTTGAATACAAAGATGAAAGTATCCCTATTCTTATTATTTTTATATTTATTTTAAAAAATCGCCAGTCTCCTTAATAAAGGCAATCTAAAACTGAATCTTCTTCCATAAATCTAATCCATGAATTTTATGATTTTGTGTTAAATTTTTTTTACAAATGATTTTTTCGTAATTCCTTCTGTGGTTATGTCGAATTTGCTGTGGTTATGTTTATATTTTTTCACCTATCGTTAGAATTCAAATCTCACTGGGATCCAGCTGTATCACTGTCCTAAGGTGATTGTCTGGCGAAAGAATCCTATTGTAATGGAACCAGCCGTAGCAGTCAGTGAAAAGCACCTGAATAAGATGAAGATGAAGTTGGAAATTGTAAAAGTAAGAATCGTGTATAAGGGAAAAGGGAGAATAAATTTATAATTCTCATTTTATTTTAAAATATTTTTTTAGCATTCATCGAAATTGAAGACCTTACATCGCAATTCAATTCACCAGTGATTATGGACATTAAAATGGGAACGAGGTAAAATTTTCGTTTTTTTTCTTGTTTGGTAGGTTAGTATAGTATTTAATTTAACTGATGATCTTCCCGAAATTGATAATCTTTGCATATATAGATTGTTCATATATTATTCTAATAAGCTAATGCTAGATATTTCAAGCTGGAATTTGTAATAATTTAAACCAGCTTATCTCGAGGCAAAAATAACAATGCTAATGCTAGTAATGGTACCAAAAGTTGCAAAAACAATAGTAATAATAATGGTTTTCTCCTAGGTAAACCTGTTAATTGTTAATAAAACAATAAAATTAATGGCTGTAAATAATAATAATAGTAATTTAATATAATAATATAGTAATAGTAAATAATAATTTATAAAACGATTTATAACTATATATAAATAAATAGTAATTTATAGATAAATAGAAAATATAAATAGTAATTCATTTATTTATTCGTTTCAGCGCTGAACTAAGTAGAACCAAAAGCCATGTGATAATATGTTAACAAAAATAATCAAAAAAATATAGCCGAAAAATAAAAAACAGCTCTAAAAAATTACAGAAATTCGACAAAAAAATCGGATTCTTTATATTAATAATAATAAATTTATATTAAATAAAAAAATAATGATAAGTAACAAAGGATAACAACAAAAATAGAGAGACTCTACAATGGATGGTAATAGGAAATAAATTTTTTTTTTCTTTAAGGGTGTTCACCATTACTGGTTTAACTCGCTCCACTGGCTTATCACATTGAGCAATGTGCCAGGGAGAGAGAGAGCAATATCCCTTGGCGATAGAAATACAGGTTTACTCCTGCGGGGGATCGAACTTCAGCATCGGCGCTCCCAATTGAGCAACAACCCACTGAGCCATTCTTATAATAGCGATATTTTTTCGTATTTCTTTCGCATTTCGGATTTCATTTTATCAAAGATGCAAATATAATCTTTATTTTCCGCTGAAATTAATTTAACTTGGATCTTTTTTCAGCTTTTTAAACTCACATTATAGTTTTTTTTCCTTTTTTTATTTATATATTATTAATTTCTATGCAGTCAGTTGTAGGACATTTTCGGAGAGTGAAGCAAAAAATGCTGTAAAAAGGAATGATTTATATGAAAAAATGATAGAACTAAATCCAGACGAACCAACTAATGAAGAAAATAACGAGAAAGCAATTACGAAATTACGATATATGCAATTTCGTGAGGCTCAAAGTTCCACTACTTCATTCGGATTTCGCATAGAAGCAGCTAAAGTAATCATTTTTTATAAGACGTATGATTCCATAATATAACATTAAACGAACCTCACCTTTCTCATTTTCTGTGAGCAGAAAGACTCATCCTTAACCTCAGGTCCATTAAAAGAGGCCTGGAAGAGGTAGAGATTCCGCTCAATATCTTAGCTGTACACTCTTCTGGACAGAGATCTCAACTTTCTCATATTCTTTAATGTTCCTATTAGTTGGTATTGCTATACTTATCAATAATGCTGGTTTTTGGTTCTTGTCTACTACCATCTGGTTGATATCTGGTTGACTGGCTAGTACTTGTTGTATGTCTGGATAGAGAAGTGGCTCAAAAGATTTTGGTCATGTTCTGGATTCTATTTGAATTATATTTATATATATATATATGTGAAATCCGTAAATCTGTAAATGGTACTAGGAATTTCCATGAATCCAGAACAAGTCATTTCTTAGATTAAGTTATTATCAATGAATAGTTTTTTTTTTTTTTTTATTTCAGATGCCAGGTGGAATTCTTCAAAAAAATTTTAAAAAAATTAAATCACGCACTGATATCGCGAAGACATTATGGGCATTTTTTGGCGAAAATTTAGCCATTAGCAATCAGTTCTTATGGCGACTCTGCCAGTTCCGACAAGCTGCAGAAGAGTCCGCATTTTTTCGTGAGTATGAGGTGTATTCTTCATTTCGTTCCGTCAATTTCACTCATTTTCTTTGGATCTTATATGTTATTGTGAAATTTAACGAATGAAATCCGAGTGGATCCGCGTATATTTCTAAGTGCCCTTATTCTAGTACAAATGTAAAGTAGAACGAAAAACTCGTTTTCTCGATTTTTCAATTCATTTATATTCGAGAGCATTTGATAACTATTGAAGATAGTGAATAACTAATAAAAGATAATAATATACTGTGTGATTAATTTCACAAGGAAAGAAGATTTTTTTTAGAGCCTTCTTTTGCAGATCATCGGCAGTTCCTTATTATTGATGTATGATTCTAAGCGAGTCGGTGCTTGGATGATTGATTTTGCAAAATCAGTGCCTGTTAAAGATCAAAAGATAAGTCATCGAGAGAAGTGGATACTGGGAAATCATGAAGATGGCTATCTGACTGGACTTGATAACTTAATTAGCGTAAGCTTATTCACTTCCGATTTATAAATATATTTTAGCTTTTATTCTTAATAAGCCTATACATGCTTAAATGGCTTTATTTGTTGGTTCAGTAAAGTTTTATTTTATCTAAGTTTTATCTTTTAGGTAATTGCAGAAATAAGTCTTCGCAATTCATGAAATATTTTAATGATCAATTTAATGGTCATATTTTTGAAATTCCATCGATGATTTTCGTTGGTCATTATTAAGCCTACACAAAATTTCCTCTACGCGGGTGTGATATGCGTAATCTACCTTCTTTATTTTTGCGTTTAACTTCAACTGATTTTTTATTTCTTTATAATAAATTTGATTGAACGTGAGGATTAAACTAATTTTTGAGACCAATCCATTTATTAATTAAAAGATTTGCGCAACGTTTGCAAAGTTTTGCAAAGTTTAGATGAAATTAAATTATAAAATTTATCAGATAGATTCAGTATGCCCTATGGCTATGATCCATTCGAAATTCGGATAATGATGAGAATTCATTAGTGATTCTTTCGCTGAAGAAGAGATTTCATTCTGATAATTGCTAAACCAAAAATGTTAAAAAAAAGTTAGGCATTTTTTCATTTAAATCTGTAAAAATCCATAAAAATCGATCAAAAGGCTGAATTTATTCTGATAAAACTTCATGTTTAAATTATATAAAATTTAATACTCCAGTTAATTTATTATAATCATTTTTTTTTCAGTACAAATTTTATTAAAATTGTTTTTAATTATTTTAAATTATAAATTATAATTTTTTTTTTTTTTTTAAATTATTAATGCTGTGATAATGTTTAATGTTTTGCGTTTCCTTTTTCGTTTTTTTTTTTTATCTATTTAATTTAATCAGGCCAATTGTTCACTTTTTTTTAAAAAAATATTCATTCACTTACATTATTTTCTAAAAATACTTTTTAAAAAAAACTATTTTTTAAAAATAACTTTTCCTACTGATCAATCAGCTGAACAATTAAATTCATTGACTATACGGATTGTTTTAAAATTGTTCAGTTACGATGTTTTGTATTTTTAACGCTCCTGATTTGCCTTCTTTTTTCTTCCATATTCGTTTTATGGTTAATTTTTCGTAAAGTTGGTTGTTTTTTAAGTGCTTTTTTTCACCGCATAATTTATATAAGTGACATTTTTTGTGATTTTTTTAATTTTAAATTTAATGAATTATGAGGAAATGAAACAACAAAAATAGTGAAAATATGGAGAATTCCGTGAAAAAGGAAATTTTTTTTAGATTTTTTTTTTTTATAGCAAATTCAACCGATAAAAATTGAAAAATTTTTTCTTCATTTCATGAATTTTTTTCTTTTTCATGTAATATGCATGTGACACATATCACTTTTTTTTACTGATATTGTTTTTTTCAATGCCTTTAAAATTTTATTTTTTTTTTTAAACTACTATTTATGTTGCATATAAATGATATTATTAATTGTCATCGAAAATTATCATTGAAGAAAAAAAAAAAGAGAAACGTTTTTTCTTTGATATTTTAGAAAGGAAAAAATGAAAGGAAAAAATAAATTTTTTCATAGATTTTTATAAAAAAAATTTAAATTATTCAATTATTTATTTTTTTCCTTTCATCTTAATTTAATTTAAATTTTTTTAATTTTAATTTAATTTAAATTTAATTTAATAATAATGATTTAAATTTCTTTAAAAATTTTCTTAAAAAAATTGTCAAAGAATTTTTATAATTTTTTATTTTGTTTAATCCATTTTTTTTTTTAAATTCGCCCATCAAACGTAGAAGAAGAAATAAGTCGTTTAAATCGTTTCACGGTAAGGCTGATAAATTTAATTTTTTGATAATGCAGCTAATGATAATTTTTATTTTGTCTTCTATAAGAATAAAGCTATCCGAGTGGTGCTGCTCGCTCAATTATACTTTTATCATTGATAAAAGTCATGAATTATTGATAAAAATTTCTAAGCACTAAGAGCGAATGTCCTTACCAGAAATGGTGACTAATTTAAAAGGTGTGCCAATTACTTTTTTCAATAATTTTAATGAAAATATTTTTTTTTGGCATAAAATAATCATTTTTACTGAAGGAATTTTAAAATTTGTTTCATATTTTATTGTAAATTGTGTTTTAACATGATAAACTTATAAATTAGAATCACAAATCTGCAAAATTTTGGGTGACAATCATGGTGCTTCTTCGGATAAATTAATTTTTAAATAATTTTTTCGTTAGTACAAAAAATTTTTAATAATAAATTTTTTATTTAATTTCAAAATAATAAATAAAAAAATAATAAATCGACTAATTTTGTCAGTGTTTTAATAAAATAAAAAATAATTGCATGTATACACGATAATTATTTGATTTTTAAGATTTTAAATGAATTTAATTAGCTGAATTAAAAAATAAATATAATAAATTAAATAATAAAGGCGGAAATAAATCGAAGACAATTAATTAAAAGAATTTCTCGACCTTTGACCTGGCAAGCATTATCAAACTGGAAAATCGGATAAAAAATTAATAGAAATTATCAAAAACAATTATTGCCATTGGAAATCGCAAAAAAAAATTGATTTTCCATTATATAGTATAATACAACAAATATGATGAGGAGAAAGAATGGTACGAAATCTGAATTGCTGGCTATCCAACTAGTCTGAGTATATTGCCATATTATACGTAGCCACCACCAGCATTTCGATGGCCAGAAGTGATGACTTGCCTGATAAAGGCTTCTTGTCCCACTAATAGCCGCTATAGTGAATCCGACCAGAAATGCTGGATGCTACTCGACTATTAGGTTAAAATAGCTGAAAGGCAAACAACTCAAACTAAAACTACGAATTTATTAAAATTCTTAATACGTTGATAAGAATATTATTAGATTGATTATCAGATTGGTGAAATTATCAGATTGATTTTTAAAATTTCGAATAATCTTTATCTTCTTCTATAATTTATAAAATTTCTATAATTTATTTAAAATTAAAGCATAATTTTTTGACCTGTTGAAGGGCGTAAAAAAAAAGAAGTAAAGCCTACCAAATTTTCATTTGGTTTCTCAAACTATCTTTTCCAATAACTTATGTTATGCAAAGATTCAACCCCCAGCAACTGTATCATAACTCGAACGAAACAATCGTTGGTGCAGTTTAAATTTCCATATAGCTCCAGTCACCAAAATCAGTATAATTAAAAGGACAAAAACGGTTACGAGTGTCACATTTGAATCGTCAGGTATTGGCGGTTCCGTTGGTCGTTCGAATATGAAATCTGCTGTCGATGACTAAAAATTGCAAATAATAATTTTTATTGAAAATAAATGAAATTATCAAAATTATAAGCGATCACAGATGATAAAGTTTTCTCTATTATTACCTAAAATCAATCTTTAGAATTGCATCAAAAAAAATCATTTAAATGAAGAAAGAAAGAAAATTTAAAAAAATAGAATCTACCTCGACTACCTCGACTTTATTATTTTTATTATTTTTTCCCACTTTACTGTCGTCATTTTTTTCCTCCTTTTCTTCTTCTTCTTCTTTTTCCTCTTCTTCATTTTGATCCTCGCCACTTTCCTCTTTCACTGCAATATTGAGTGAAATTACAATATTATAATTCTAAAAGCATCTCTGTTTAGGCCGGTATCACTAACTATTAGAAGCCTTACGATAGACAATTTTGCAACAGGGATAGAATGGCTCAGTGGGTTATTTATCAATTGGGAGCGCCGGTGCTGAGGTTCGATTCCCCACAGTAATAAGCCTGTACCTGTACGGACTCCTGGCATATTGTTCAATTGCGATAAGCCAGTGGAAAAAGTTTAACCAGTAATGGTGAGGATCTTAAAAGAAAAAAGAATGCTTGCGACAAAATTGGAGAGAGGCGTATCCAGGGATGCAAAATGAGGGGTTTTTTACCTTCTGCCTCTTGTTTTTCGTTTTCTTCGTTCTCCTCATCTTCATTTTCTTCTTGTTCCTCTTCATCCTCATATTCTACTTCCATTTTCGGTTTGAGAGGAGGCCGTTTTTCTGTTTTCCTTAAAGCATCATTTTATATGCTTTTACAATCCCCTTATATCGTGCCTTGGTCATAAGAGGTATGAATTTTTTTTTTTTTTCAAGAACATGATTGAAACATACTGCGGTTGTTTGCGTGAACCAGATTTAGACTTTCGTGGAATCACTGATTCTTGATTAGCTCGAGCTCGCCCTATAGCTCTTTTATCATTGGTCTTGAAAAATTTCTCTATTAAGAATTTGCGATATTTCTTAAAAGATGTAATTTCTAACTCATCTTGTCTTAATATTTTCCGCAGAAATGTCTGAATTTTCGCTTGGAAGCTAAGTGGAAAATTTTAACGAACCTGAAAACACGTTTCAACATCAACTTTTTCAGAATCGAATTTCGCACATCCAACTGGTTGTAATTCTTCGGCTAATTCAGCGCCGTCAAGAAAAGATGCACAACCCATTGTCTTATATTCCGTCATGTGGCCAATTTTACTTTTAATAATTGCTTTAAAGCAAAATTCACCCGTGCATGTTGTATTCTTCGAAGTCACCTGAATTTTTTGTCTCTTTTTTTATGCAATAATAATTTAGATAACTCTTAACTCTTAAAATTGATGAATGGAATAATGAACAAAAACATTCTATTATCACTACTTATTATCACGAAATTATTCATCTTTGTCTTATCATTTTATCTTACTTACTTTATCTTTATCTTATCACTATAGTGTGATAGTCTGATCCAACAAATCTAAAACATTCTTAATAATTATTATTGGAATAATAATGTTATTATTCGAATCGAAAGACTTGGAAATTGAAAGCATCACATCTCTAAAGCCAGTGAAATTCGATCATGTTCCACACTATTAGAAGATAATGTGGCAAAAATAATAGGTGTACTGGCGACTCATATATATTTCTATCGCTATACGTCAAAATTTATTTGCCTCAGCAATCAAGTGAAGAGTGGAGCTAACCTAGTTAGAAATAGAAAGCATTTATTTCACGAAGAAAATAGTTTGGCAAAATCGTTTTATCAAGAGTTGGAAGGCGAAAATAATTTCATTAACTGGCTGGATTCAATATCATCGATTTTTCTCATAAAGTAGGAAATCAGATGGTTCTTAAAATAAATTGCTATTTCAAAATATGGCCTATGATAAGTCGTTTTTAATATTTTATTTATTTTTAATAATCCAAATGACCAAAAATTTTGCACCATTTTTATAGCTTTCATGTGCAGAAAACTTACGGTTGTTCCCATAGCTTCTAAAGTAACAAATGTTTTGCATTTCATTTTTTCCGGAATGGTAACTTCAGGCTTTTCACTGTTACAGTAGTCCGTACCACAAACGCAAGACTCTGTTGCCAAAAGAGCATGAGGATCCTTTGACACAGTATGATGCATAGCTCCGGTAATCGGCGGAATCATGCATGAACCCATTGACCTCCTCTCGATTAATGGCACTGAAGCGTTAACACATCCCTTAATTTATAAATATTAAAGAGAGAGGTATTCTAAGAATTGTTTTATATTTTATATTTTTTTAAAAATCTTATAGATTTAACTTATTTAAATAACCAAAAAGGCGATTAGAAAGAAATGAAAAGTAGCTCTCATGCGGTTTCTGGATTGGTACTTTTAGTTGGTATGGCTAGAAATCTTTGTAAAGGATCGCTTGCGGATCGCTAGAGATACATGTGGATCTTTTTTGGTTAATTTACTTTTCTATACGATGATCATCTATGCTACGGTCGGTCCATTCTGCTATCACTCATTCTTTGAAAGTATACACAAATTCTGAAGTTTGCTTTCTTGAAATCTTACTTGTTCCGACTTTTTCGTGCGATGGTTAACGACATATGAGCACATCTCACCTATGCACGTATTGCCTTTACAATGCGCACCACTGCATACGCAGGTTACCAAATTTACTGGTGTAATTTCGAGTCGTCTAACGGCTTTATCATTATTGCAGTAGTCTTTATCACAAAAGCATGTGAAGAGATCCTATAATGTTGATCTATTTATCATTCTTTTCTTAAGCATTATCCAAATTCCACTTTAATGGCAAGTTCATTTTATTCAAAAGGTAGAAATGGAACCTAGAATGATGACTTCATCTTAACTGAACGAAGACACGGTTCGAAATGTTGCAAACGATCAAAACCGATTTGCTTATCAACCTTTTTTAATTCTTTTAATTTCATTTTCTTCATGAATTTTTGGTTCTCCAAATTCTTTTTTTTTAAGAGCCCTCACCATTACTGGTTGGACTCGCTTCTTATCGCACTAGAGAAATATGGAATATTCTCTCTGCGATAGAAATACAGGTGAGCATTATCCGGATTTTTGAATAGGTTTACTCCTACTGAGAGTAGAAAACTGCATTATCGGCGTTCCGAACTAGGCCATTCTATATAGATTGAAGGAAAATAAAGTTTTTTTGTCTTATGACAATCTTTAATTCTATACAAATTTGGGTACTCAGTCAAAAAATATAAATTTTAGGTGATTTTGATAGGTGTAGTGATTAGATGATAATTTGACCTATATTTCGCCAAAAGATATTGCTTAATTGATAATATATTGATAAAGAAAAATTTATAACTAACTTCACCATCTTCATCTGCTGACTCGCAATGGCTCCTTATATCATTTTCCAACATTTTACCACTAATACATCCCTTAACAATTCTTGGTTCGCCCCATTCTATTGTACCCCATCGAGGTGCATAAGTTCCTAATAGGCAATAATCTCCCTCACAAAACGCTCCCATACAATCCTTTCCGATACAATCGAGGCATTTCACTGATTCGCTGATACCCATTATTGCAGCCATTAGCATGAACCAAAATATAGTTATTGATAATTTTTGCCACCGTATACTTTCTAATAATATGTTTGAAAATGAAAGTGCTTTGTTTATAATCATCGAAGAGAAATCGAAGAGAAATAGAATATTTTTAATAGAAAATTATATTTATGCTGAAAATTTCGAAGGTTTAGACGAGTTTTTGACAACTTATTTACTACCATTTAGAATTATAAATAATAATAATATGCTAAAATATAAGCGTGAAACGAAAATAGTTAATATTTATGCCAAAAGCAATAAAAATATTCAGCGTATTGTGGATTGTAAAATCCTTAAAAATCTGAAAAATATTAAATATTTTCCAGAGAAATCATCGAAATCTCCATAAAAAATTCCAGAAAACGCATTAAAAACCAACACGGAAATGATTTTTTGATTTATTGGTTTATGCATCGTTCTTGAAAGAAACGTAATAATTGTTGATGGTAATTTTTCATTGTCAAATCACGTTGTTTTCCCCTTTATTTTTCATGGAGAAATAATTTATAATTGAATTCCACAATAATCCACAACGACGAATAAAAAAAAGGAAAATTTTGACTGAAAATAGGGAAAAAAGGCTGCAATATTTTAAGGGGGAAAAATAGAAATAAAAGCTAAATCCAGCAAACGGCACTCGAAAAAGGCAATAAAAATAAGGATTGAAGATAAAAAGCAATTATAATGATGAAATCCGAAACGATATTGATGCATTTTTTTTCTTTGCAAATTCCACCTTTTATTAATAATTGAATAGAGTAAACTTAAATGAGGTGAACGGGAATTGGCTATAGAAGCATAGAGGCTACGAGGCCAACTGCACGAAATTAGAGGGAAATATGAACGATTTGGATTACAAGGATTTGACATTTTATATTTCGCCCATTTTGCCTTTTCTGGATTAATTCATGCCTAAATAAAAGATTTCTTTGCGATATATAAAAGTTTTGCTTCCAGAAAATTTAAAAATTTTTATATTTTGACCTGTATTGGCCATTGAATATTAATTTCATTGTTGAATGTTTCATCAACAAATACGAATGATTTACTAAATTTCTTAGGATTAAATCCATTGTATTCAATATGAAATATAAATTTGGAATTTAATTTTCCTAATTGATAGAAAAAATATTTTCCTTTAACTCTTCGAGCAAAGCAAAGCATTAGCACAAATAGGTTATTATTTAGCGCAGTTGCATTGAAAATTTTCCGAATTTGGCCAAAAAAAGATCAATAAATTTAAAGCCCTAAGGAATTGGAACAAATTTTTTTCTTCCTGAGAATATTTAAAATTGCTGAAAAAATTTGCTTTAAAATAGATCAAACTATTCAGAAATAATAAAATTTTGCCTGGAAAAGAAGCAGTCACATGCAATATCCATCATTCATTCACATATTTAATATCTCAAATCGCTTAACATTTCCAATTATATTCAGATAGACTATTTTAAAAAAGCCAAAACTAACAGAGAAGATAATCTCTGAGCTGAACACTTCAAATGTTATTCAGCCTGCCGAAAATTTAGCGTTTATCTATATTTCCATAATTTCTAACAAGTGATTTGTGATTTGTGAAAATATATCATCCTAATAGCCATAGCCAAAAGAAGCCTTGCCTAATCAGAAATGCTAATCATTAAGGCGTGTAGCCAAAACAAGCCTTGCCTAATCAGAAATGCTAATCATTAAGGCGTATTCGTCTCTTAATAGCAAGATGATTTCTACCAAGAATCGAGAATGTTTAAAAATTTAGTGGGTTATTGCTCAGTCCGGAGTGCCGAACTAAGGTTCCACGTTCGGCAGAAGTAAATCTTCAGAAATTCCAGAAATGCTGGCAACTAATCTGTACTTCTATTTGGGAGCCAAGGGACTCTGAAAATTCGTTTTTATTTAAATCCGTTCTCAAATTATTCTCTAACATTGGCTTCTTATCCTAATAATCAGTAGATTTTTTTTTTTAAAAGTCCTCACCATTACTGGTTAAACTCGCTCCACTGGCTTCCCGCGTTGGACGATATGCCAGGGAGTCCCTTGGCGATAGAAATACAGGTGAATCGCCTGCATCAGCCGTAAGGTCTTAAGGTGGAGAATCGAACCTCGGCATACGCGCTCCCAATTGAGCAAAAACCCACTGAGCCATTCTATCTCCCCCAACTAACAATAATAATAATTCTTCAATAAGAATTTCTAGAAAATAAAAGTAATGCTTATTGATATTGCAAAAAAAAATAATAAATTATTCAATATATCTATAATCAATATTTTTCCACTAATTATGCGTAGAACAAATAAGTAAAGCAACGAAGTAAGTAAGGACAATTGCGTAGAAAAGCAGATAATTTCCCTTCGATAATTTCCCTTTCCCTACAAATTATAAATAGATTTTAGGGAAATTTATAATGTGAAACTTAATTTAATATAATAAATTCATTTAAATAATTTAATATTATAATTATAATTATATCGATAGAATAAACAAAATTGCCGATTATTTTGAAGGGAATAAAGGAAGAAATTCGGATTCGATGAAATTTGTTAATAAATTGTTTATACGGTTGAGGCATTTTTGCCGAACTGACTGAGATAAACAAACAATCTTTATTTTGGCTAGAATAAACATCTTTCTAGCAAGTTCCATATGTCTATAAGACGGTGAAAGTCGATAGAGGAATAGCGCGATTGCTGGTGAGATTTGTGCGGAATCGTCCACGGCAAGGCACCACCATCTAAGTGAAATCGAGCATTGTCAAATATTTTTCGATGAAATTAATGACGGTTCATGGTGTATTGCATTTTATAAAGAATTTTTTTTCGGATCCAATTGGCATTGGATAGGATAAATTTTTATTTATTAATTATAATATTGTTATTTATTTAGTAGAATAAAAGTTTTATTATTCAAGTGGAAAATAAGAGTGATAGAAAATAAAGTACAAATGTTTGCACCAGCACCATGGATTTTTTAATGGCAGATTCGCTCATGTCACCAAGCGGTTTGCCATGGTGCTTTTGCCGCGATGCTTTTAATCTTCTAATCCTAATTTAGGCAGTAAACATTCGACTCAATTATTCTTATTTTTAAGATATTTATGATTAATCGTTTTTTCTTTTTTTTTTTTAGCGGATTTCGAAAATTTTTCGTTTCCCATTTTAAATTTTTCAGAAATATGTTATGTTATTCAAGTAGTTATTGATTTTTCGATTTGATAACGATTTGAAAATTTTCAAATTCAATTAATCCATGGATGCAAAACTATTCACTTAGGCTATTCCTATGATTGAAAAGCGATGCCAATGATTACAAGAAGTACCAATTAGCAAAGGTCGGCCTTCCTTAGGTGCCTGTGATTTCCGAGAATTATTGATAAACCTGGTTATGGTGTCTGAATGCTATTTCATCTTAAAGGCAAATAGTTCGTTTCCCTTGATGACAATAAAAATATCATGAAAAGTGAAATTCAAATGAATATTAGCGATCCAGTTGTGCCTCAAGCGACTTAAATAAATAAGCTCAATAATAACCTATCAAATCCAATAAAAAAATAAAAATGATGCATTCACGGTCTAAAAAAGCAGTGAATTTAACGTAAAAAATAGTTCAAAAAAATTTTTATTCTCTTATTTTTGGTATTTAAATTATTTATTTAACGAATTTTTCTCGAGAATTTTTTGAGGGTTACAGGTGAGTCGCTAGCATAAAGATAAATTGACTCCCTTATCAGCGGCGCTCTCGGTTCAGTGCCAATGCAACAATCCACTAAGATATCTTCACAAATCGAAAAAAAGTAGCTTTTATTCTCGTATGGAAAGAATCTCAATAATGGTGAATCGTATCCTTCCTAGCCAAGAATATTACCATATCAACCAAATTATTACAGAATTTCTGAATAAAACAGGAAGCTTAAAATGATAAAAAGAAAAAATAAAAAAAAGATAAAGATAAAATGATAAAATTTGAATGCCATCTTTTTCAGTGGAAATATTTAAGTGGAATATGGCTCAATCTACTTGTTACATTCAAATTTTTTTTCGTTTTTGTCTAAAAATTGTTAAATTGTAAATTTAACTGATAAATTTGAATTCGATAATTTTTTAATGAAATCTTTTTAAATTTTTTTACGAAAAAAAACTAAATTCCATCAATAATGGAAATTTTTTATTTGTAATTTTGAAAAAAATTTTAAAAAATTTTTTTTTTCCAATTTATTCAAAAATATCTTTTCATGCGGAAAAAATAGACATTTTAAAATTAGAAAAAAAAAGACTTCTTCGATTTCCGAATAAAAATTATTAAATATATAAATATATATATATAAATGAGAATAGATGGAAATGTATTCAAATATATCAAATAATGGAAAATAGGCGAATATTTTTAAAAACCGAAAAAAAAAGAGAAGGAAATATAAGAAAAAGGAAGAAAAAATAAAATGGATGTGAAAGTATTTCTGAAACCTTAGAATCGCTCGCTGAAATCTAATCAGTAAGAAAAGCTTTGTTTGATGAGATCAAATTGGTTTGCAAATCGAAAAATAAATATATATCAAAAAATTGATAAAGAACTTCCGCGCTTCCAGAATATTCAACCAACAACGATATTAATAATTGGAAATGTTTTTTGTCTTTTAGAGGATTGAAAAACTTTAAAAATAAAAAAAATTATATTGAACGAAAATTTAAATATTTTTAATATGCATGAAAAAATTGAGAAAAATTTTTAATATATATGAAAAAGGTTTAGAATTTTTCTTCGTGGAATTTTTTTTTCTTTGCAATAAAAAAATGCGAACCATAGTTATGAAAAATTGAAAAAACAACATCGGTACCACTCACTGTGTGGAACTGTGGTAGGTTGAAGTTCATAAAATAATTCTTTAGCTTATGTTTATGCTTATCATTATGCTTATCGTAAAAGGTTTCATTGGAGTTTTTAACTTATCTTATTTTTAACTCTAATATTTAGCTTTATATTCTTCTCGAGTTGTTCGTTATTCGTAAATAAATAAGCAAATAGGACCTTTTTTCGTAGATCCTTTGGCTCCCGTGGATTCTAATGGATTCTATCAAAAACCTTGAAA